CCAAGCCTGCCCCAGGACTGGTTAAATCCGACCAAGGAGAATGATTTTACAGCTCCAAAAGTGATCCTCAGATTGTGTAACACTAAAAAGTTGAAAACCTAAAAATTCAACAATGTAAGGCAAAAAGGCCCCACTTCTCTACCTCCTATTAATGATTTTAAAAAAACATGACTTGCATGTTGGCTTTGCATTTGTGAGAGAACAGAAAAATAAGGATTTGAAAGATGTGTAAAAGAAAGTAAGGATACAAGAAAATACTACAGGCAAAAAATAGCCTATTCAAAAAGTCTGAGATGCATGAAGGACCACTTGTCTGGTGGGCTACAGGGGGTATCAGCAGGAAGAGAGGCGGTAAACCAAGGGATAGTCAACTAGAAGTTAATACTTGTCTCAACCATCACAGAAGTATGTAGAAACTCAGCCTACTCCATCTCTATACACACGCTAGAATCTAAGTTCTTAGAGTACGGAAGTTATTATTATTATTTTCTTATATACTGATAGATTTCAAGGATCCATAATAATGCCTAATACATAGCAGGCACTGGATATATATTTGTTTGAGGAATAAATAATTAAACAAAACACAAAGTCAGTGCTTTGGTGGATCACCTACAGGAAAAATAGAATAAGTGATCAATAAACAATGGGTATTTTTATTATAACTAGTACTTATGTCTGGGGGTTAAATATGAGTGCTCAGTAAAAATTGATAGTTAATTGTGCTGGGTATCTCTATTTGAAGGATTTTTTTTTAATTATGTACAATGACACACGATAAAATGAATGGATCTTGTGTTATAGTTTGATGCATTTTGACAAATGTGCAAGATGGGAAACATTGCCATCACTCTAGAAAATTCCCTGTGTCCCTTTCCTGCCAATTGCACGCTCCCACAGATGCAATCCACTATTCTGATATCTAATCCCATAGGCAAGTTTTGTCTCTTCCTAAACTTCATATCAATGGAATCATACAGTATTATCTTTGGTGTCTGTCTTTTGTTTCACATAATGTTTTTGAAATTCATCCGTGGTGTTGTGCATATTAGTAGTTCATTCTATTTTACGACTATGCCATAACTTATTTATCCATTTCCTTGTTGATGGACACTTGAGAGTTGTTTCTGATGTTTTGCCATTATGAATAAAGGTGCAATAAACATTCTTATGTCAGTATTACTTTTTGGGTATATGTCTACATTTCTAAGAAATAAATTACTAGGAGAGAAGTTGCTGGGTCATAAAGTTTGTGTACGTTTAAGTTTATAAAAACTACCAGGTTTTCACTGAGGTTATAATTTTTACAATCCCACTAGCAAAGCAGAAGAGTTTTAGCTGTTCCACATTCTCACCAACATTTGGGATGATCAATATTTTTAATTTTTATGGGTATGAAGTAATATTTCATTGTGGCTTTCATTTGCATATCTCTGATGGCCAACGGTGTTAAGCATGTTTTCATGTACTTATTGGTCATTTACATGAAATTTTTGTGAAGTATTTATCTGAGTCAACTTCCCACTTTTAGCTATGTTGTTTCTCTTTTTTATTATTGATTTGCTGTGGTTTTTAAAAACATATTCTGGATATGAGCTCTTTGTAATATATATGTATTTACTCCTAACTCATATCTTATCTTTTTCTTGTTTATTACATGAAGAAAAGTTTTTAAATTTTGATGGAATACAGTTTATTATTATTTTTTTATTTTTTGAGTTGGAGTCTCACTCTGTCACCTAGACTGGAATACAGTGGCCGCTCCCGGCCACCACAGCCTCGACCTGCTGGGCTCCGGCGATCCTTCCGCCTCAGCCTTCCAAGTAGCTGGAACTACAAGCGTGCGCTACCACGCCCGGCTAATTTTTGATTTATTGTGGAGATGAGGTCTCGCCAAGTTGCGCAGGCAGGTCTCAAACCCGCGGGCTCAGGCAATCCATTCACCTTGGCCTCCCAAATTGCTGGGATTACAGGCTGAGCCACTGAGCCCGGCCCAGTTTATTATTTTTACTGTATGCTTAATGCTTTTTGCATTCTATTTAAGAAATCTGGGGCACTCCCAAATCACAAAAATCTCTAGTACATTTTCTTCTAGAAAGTTTATAGTTTTAGCTTTTCCATTTAAGCCTGTAATTTATCTCAAGTAATTTTTTTCTGTGTAGTTTGAACATGGATCAAGGTTTATCTTTTTTTTTAATGTGTATATCTAGTATGTCCAGCGCCATTTATTAAAAAGATTTTCCTTTTCCCCATTGCCATAATCATTGATCAAAAATAATTTGAATGGCCGGGCTTGGTGGCTCAGCCTGTAATTCCTTGCCTTTGGGAGGCTGAGGTGAGTGGATTGCCTGAGCCCACGGGTTCGAGACCCACCTGGGCAGCGAGACCTCATCTCTACAATAAATCAAAAAATCAGCCGGGCGTGGTAACGCATACCTGTAATTCCGGCTACTCGGAAGGCTGAGGCGGAAGGATCGCCAGAGCCCAGTAGGTCGAGGCTACGGTGGGCGGGAGCGGCCACTGCACTCCAGTCTGGGCGACAGAGTGAGACTCCAACTCAATAATAATAATAATAATAATTATTATTATTATTTGAATGTACATTTGTGAATCTATTTTTATTATTTCATAATTAAATAAGATATTAGTTATAGGGTTTTTATAGATACCCTTCATAAGATTGAAGAATTCATCTTCTTTATCACAAATTGATATTGAATTTTGTCGAATGCTTTTTCTACATTTACTGAAATGATCATATAATTTTCTCCTTTATTCTATCAATATAGTACATTACACTAATTTATTTTTGAATATTAAACCAATATTTCATTCCTAAGATAAACCCCACTCATCCATGATGTATTATTTTTTCTTAAATACATTGTTGGATTATGATTAGTAACATACTAAAAACATATTGTGTAGATTAATGTTATTTCTTTTTTAAATGTTTGATTGAATATACTGTGAAAACATCTCTGCCAGGAGTTTTTAGATATAGTTCAATTTTTTAGCAAATATAAGCTGATCAGATTGTCAATTTCTTCTTATGTCATTTTGGGAAAATTGTGTGTCTTCAAGGAACTTGTCCTTTTTATCTACATTGTTAAATTTGTTGGCATACATTTTTCATAATATTCTTTTTTATCATTTTAATGCCTGTAGTATCTATAATATCTGTGGTGATATTCCCTTTTGCATTTTTAATATTGTTTATTTGTGTTTTCTCACTTTTGTATGATCATTGTTGCTAGAAATTGTGAATTTTATTAATCATTTCAAAGAACTAACTCCTGGATTTGTTGATTTTTTCTGTAGCTTGTGTTCCACTTTGTTGATTTTAACTCTGATATTTAATATTTTTCCCTTCTACTTCATTTAGGTTTACTTTGCTCTTCTTTTTCTAGCTTCTTAATTTAGAAGCTTAAATCACTGACTTTACATTTTCTTTTTTTGATTATAAGCATTTACAGCTATAAATTTCTCTCTTAGTACACATTCTATTTTATTCTTCAAATTTTGATATGTTGTGTTTTCATTATCATTCTGTTCAAAATATTTTTCAATGTCTTTCTGATTTCTTCTTTGACCTATAGGTAATTTAGAAAGACATGGTAATTTCCAAACATTTAGAGATTTTATAGACATATTTTTGCTACTAATTTTTATTGTAATATTGTCATAGTCAAGGAAAGCATTCTGCATTATTTCAATCCTTCTAAACACATGGAGTCTTATTTTATGCTCTAGAGTGTAGTCTACTTTGGATAATTTTCCATGAAAGAATGTGCATTATATAGCTGTTGGAGGTAGCATGCAAACTTTTCCTAAAACTTTCTCTTCACTGTTTGCACAATATTGTCTCCTGACTCCAATTATCTATATTCTGTCTCCCACAGCGTATCCTATATCTTCCTCCCTTCTAGACTCACTGAGACCTTCATGGTATGTGTAAAGTGAAGATAAATGGCAAGATGCTGAAGGATTTTAGAGGTGTTACATTGATGTAAAAAAAAGCCAGTTTTTATGTGATATTATAGCTACTAATTTAAGAGTTGCATTATGGGGGAGGAGGAAGGGCAAGTGGGACAGATATTGTCACTGTGCATATGAGAGCATCTGTCAATTCCCTGTGAAGTCTCTCCTCTCCTACTCAGGTCATGGTTTGTAGATGTGAGATGATTTTTTTTATTTGCACATTGATACTGATTTTCTATATTTCTCAATAGTTAATATATATGCACTAGAAAGTGTGATTTACAAAAAATATAACCTCCCCCTTCAACCTATGATTTACAGAAGAGAAGTATTTAAGTTTTGAAACAAAGAATTGAACACCACATGTTCTCACTCACAAGTTGGTCCTGAACATTTATCACTATACTACAAGAGAAGGATCAGCAGTAGCAGTACACTGCCAGGAGGAAGGGGTAATGGGGAACATAGCATCATGAAGGGTTCCTGATCCTAAGCCAGGAGAAGTGAGGACCAGTTGGGGGCCCAAACTTCACCTGCACATAGACCACTTATGTACCTAATCCTGACTTATATCCCATATCTTTATAATTTAAATACATATATACATAAATGACTAAGTAAACGAAAATACAGAGGGCTCTTCCATGCGGTAAAATGGTAACTATGATACACAATCATGAGATTTAGGCAAGCTGGTCTGATCACTGCTGTGTCATCAACATTTGCTACTACAATGCTGTAAACTACACTTCACTGTCTTTGAATATCCCAAGTCTGGACCCTTCCTACTGGGATTTGAGAACAGCACACAATTGCCACTGTTTACCCAGGGAGAACATTCCAACTGTCTCTTGCAGTATTTGGCCTGCCTTGTTCCAAGAAAGGCCTGCTCTCCTGTCTGTGAGATGGAATCTAGGGCAGCTCAACAGGAAATGTTCTAGGGAAAGAAGAGACTGGACCCCCTTTATTGCCCATGCTTTCTGCCCTCCCCTGCACTCGGCTCGCAGAAAGATGCTCACCTTTTCCCATTCTCGGTCCTTGTTCAGCACAATCACTACAAGCCTGGGGTGCACCTGATAGCCTTCCTCAGTGAAGGATAAGTCTTTGCCATCCCATGTCACATTGACCATAAATCTGAAAAAGGAAGAGAGAATGACACATTTTTAGGGAAAAATGAAAGGAATCAAACAAATGAGTAGATGTCACCATCAATGTAACACTGAAAAAGTGTCAACTTACAATGCTACCACTCATCACAAGAAGGCTCTCTCTGTAAAAGTATAATACCTAGGCAGGCACTGCTAATTGACCATGCATTAGGAACTGGTTGTAATTAGCACATGAAATAAAACCTCTCAGTTCTGCCAGATCCATACACCTGTGTTCACATGATCTTCTGAAAGGAGGATCTAAACACATATTCTATTATGCTTTAACAAGCTTCCCTGAAGGAAATTGCTCATAAACCACATGGTATTCGGCTTTGAAGAAGTGATATCCCATCTATTTATTATTCGATCAACTAATATTTATTAAGCATTTGCTACATGCCAAGGCTTAGCTAACTGGTTGGGAATAAATAAATAAACAGACTTAATCACTGCCTGCATGAAATTTATAGACTAAGGGAGAGGATCGGCATTGATTGATTCATCACAAACCTGTGACAACTGCTACAGTGGAGAGGAGGATGTGCTAGAAGGTAAAACAGGGGTAAGGTCAGGCTGAGGAAGTGCAACTTGACCTGAAGAATGAGTCAGCATTAACTAGGTAAGAAAAGACAGAAGCAGGCACAAGGGACAACATGTGCAAAGGCCCTGTGGTGTGCATGTGAGGGAGTGAACACAAGTCAGGGAGGGCAGGCATATGTGAGATGGGGTGAGGCTGTAAATATGGATAGGAGCAGACAATGCAGAGTTTTGGAGACTGTGTTAAATTTTATCTTTGTCTGAAAACAGTGGGAAAATATGAAAGGGTTTTAATCAAGGAGGTGACATAACCAGACTTTTGTTTTATCATATCATGTGAAGGCTGAATAGAGAATGGATTAGAGAGGGAATGAAGTGATTATTTGCACAATTCTTATAATCCAGGTAAAAGATACTGGTGGCTTTGATCTTGCTGTGGCCAAAGAAATGGAGGGGGAAAAAAAACCCCAGTAGCAAATGGGCCCAAGTGGAGAGATATTTAGCCGGCATTTAGTGAAAGATTAGATATGAGGGCGAGAGAGAAAGAGGCCTCAAGGATGGCTCCTAGCATCTACCTTGTATAACAGTCATGCAGTCACCTTTTAGCTTTTGGTCTAGATTCTTTCATTGTAGGTAACCTCTGTCTGCCTTAAAACATTCTTGCCCTCCTAACCCTCAAAGTCACCTTGCCTATAGTCAGGCTGGACTCAGATGGGGAGCCAAGGCAGAGTACATCTCCCATTATCTGAGTGAGAGGGTTTCAAGGGGTCCACATCTCCTTGCAGTCTGAGAAAAATGTGATGTTATTAATGATATCTAAGAACACATGGTGGCAGCATCTTAGCAGACATGCAATGAATACAATATGGTGGATTGAAGCAGAGATTCCCCAGAAAGACAAGTAATATCAAAGCCGTAGTGTTTCCTTGTTTCATATTCCATTAACACCAAGAACAGCTGAAGAAGTAAAAAATTAAAGAGAAGAACCAGGCCACAAGAAATTCCAAAAAGAAAGATTGGCCTCTCTTCTTAACAAATTACCCTGGGCTACATAGTACAAAAAAGTCTGGCAGCATTGTCTCAGGAAGAATCAGATTTCCAAGGACAAGGTTTACAAATGGGGAAAAAACAAATAACAAGTATCGTGTGTCCATTCAATCGACTATTTGGGTCATTAAAAATCATGTTTTTGGAGGCAAGTTAACAGAACAGAAAAAATGTTCACTATTTAATGTTAAAGATGCAGAAAAGAAGATGAAAACAGAGCTTGTCTCTGCATGGAAGGATTGCAGGTATTGTTCATTTTCTTTTGTGGATCTTTGTATTCTCCAAATTCTCTGCAATCAAATACTTTAGCAAACAAAAAAATAAAACACTGTTATTCTAGAAAGAGCAAAGAGTAATCACTGCTCCATTTGATATACTTGGGGTATCTCTGATCACTTCGTAGAAAGATATGTCCTTGATGTAACAACTATTTACTGTCTGTCTGTCATGTGTCAGGCCTTATGATACAGAAATTTAAAAACACAGTGCTTGTCTGTCCTCTTAACCACATTCTTACAATTCAGTGGCATAGGCACATAAACGATGACAACACCTCCAGTGCCCATTGTGCACTGACAGAGAACGAACGTGAGAAGTTGTAAGGACACAGAGGAAGGACCCCTAACTCAGTATGAGGGATTTAGGGAGGGCTTCCTGAGGAATTTTGAAGAGTGAAGAGGTTGAGGAAAGGTGGGAAAAAGCAGAGGGGTCATCTTAAGGAAAGAAGAGTCAGCAGAGGCAGTGACACATGCCTGGGAAGTAGGAGGCTGCTTAGTAAGGCTGATGATTCTATTATGTGCTGTGGGATGAGTCTGGAAAGGCTCCCTGAAGCTCTAACATAAAAGGATCTTGTATAGCTCACTAAAGGGTCTGGATTTTGTTCAGAAGGCCGTGGGGATCCATGGAAAGTTCTAAGTAGAGGCATGAGGCACTCAGATTTGCTGCCAATAGAAGCAGAAATAAAAATGTTTTTTTGCCTTTGAAGGGAACTCCAGCATTTTTGTTAATGGCTTAAAAACCATTCATTATCTAGACAATTGAAACTGTTCTTTTTTCTGTTCCTTCTTCCCTTTGATGTTTCCTGGCTGGAGTTTGATGAGTTGAATGAACATGGTCCAGATAGGCACATCTAGAAGTGTTTCACTTCACATCCCTTATTGAGACCCTTGAGAGGACATTTGCATGGACTGTGGGTTTAGAGGAGAACAGAACTTGGTCAGATTCCTCATTATCAGGAGGTCTTCAAGGTAGATAACTAACTAGGACCTAAATTAGACTTCTTATTTTTCAAGCAGACATTTTGCTTCTGTTTTATGTGGTTATTTTTAGCCCTGTCACGTTGTTGGCATGCTGTAGGGGCTCAGTTAATGTTCAGTGACTAAGACTGTAGACAGATCATCACCAGAAATGTCATCCATCCATCCATTCATCTATCTATATATCTATCTGTTCATCCCTCTGCCAACACATCCATTAATCTATGCATCAATACAATTACCCATCCATCCATCTATCCGTCTATCCATCAATCCATTCATTAATACACCCATCCATTCTTCCACCCATTAGACATGTTTGAGTACCTCCTATGTGTCACACCCTGTGCCAAGAGCTATGCTAGGGAAATGTTACAAAAATAATCAAACTTCCGTTTAAAAATTTTATTATAGGGATTTGAGGTACAAGTCAGGATTAGCCACATAAGTTGGCTGCATGCATGAGAAGTTTGGGCTTCCAACTGGTCCTCACTTCTCCTGGTTTAGGACCAGGTACCCTTTGTGTTGTTACATGTCTCCCTCCCTTTCCTGGCAGTGTCCAACGACTGCTGATCCGTCCCTTGTACTAACCACCCACCATGAGCCTTGACAGAGCTAGGAGAAAAAGAGTTACTAGTTACTCTGTGGCTGCTGCTCCAAACTCATAGGGGGGCCAGCCAATTCACTGAGGTGTTTCTTACGGAATCCAGTGAACTCTCAAGCCAGGTTTCAAGTATCCAACACTTTGGGGTGAATGGAGTTCAGACGGGTTATCTAATGCCCCAAATGTGAGAAAACTGAAAAAGTAGTAAATCACTAAGACTTTAGAAATATCTCGTTTGTTATCTGTCTGGAAAAGGTAAATCAGGGAACACATGTTTTGGTTTTGACCTATACATTTGGCCCTGGGGAGAGCCATTCACAGGTTATGTTACAGGAACTGAATGCCACAGCAACCATTTTAATCAAGAGGGTAGCATCTTTCTTTGCATTTGTCAGTTGAATTTACTTAAATCGCTTTCTTTAATTTCTCATCTCCTTTTCCTCCCCACATTTTATTTTATTCCATTTCGTAGTGAAATTAGATGAGATTCGCAGGGTGATTATTTAGATGCAGTCTTCTTTAGATTATATGAAAACAACCATGTAAAAATCCTCACATTCCTTATTTTTTCTGGGTTCCTTTAATATTCAATATTCTGAGTCAACGATTACATGTACTCAATGTTAATGTTGTCTTTCTTTTTCTATTAAGAGTCTTCAGTCGCTCGGGAGAAAAAAAAACTCCAACAGAAATTTCTGCTGAACAGTAATTTCATTATGAAGTTGGCAGGAAGCGAATACCTATTACCTTCAATTCCCCCATCCAATTTCTAGGAAGGACAGTCCATATTTCCTTGGGCTTTCTGCCCATTTAAACATGCTCCAGAGGAAAATTCTTTACCTAGAGAAATGCCATTATACACCACGTTACTCTGTTCCCATTAACACCTGCTGGGCACTTGTATTAAACAGTAAAATCTTATCACTGTTTTGCTTATCTCTCCAAAATTGATCATAAACCTTTAGTGGTCAGATAAAATGCCAGAAATTCTGGCTGCTTCTGCTATTCAAATTACATATTTTCGTCTGGAGCAATAAATACACGGAGGCATGCTGGCAAAATAGAGACGGGGGAAGGCTCTAATGAAGTGCTAAGTAGTTTTGTTACTGTCAGTGACAAACACAACATCAATCCAGAATATATGTAAATATAGGAGACATCTATACACGCAAGTTTCTTTTGGTGTTTCCAGTCTTCAGTGTATGAAGCTGAAGTCTGGATGAAGTAAACATTTCTCTGCTGATTGCATTATGTGCTCTATGAATATTGATGTATGAGGATATTAGAGATAACACCGAAGAACAGGTGGATTTCTATATTTCCTATATTATTACTGAAAGGAAATTATCAAGTTCTCTTTAGGCCGGCACTATCTAATATGATAACCACCACCAGTCACATGTAGCTACTGAGCACTTGAAATGTGGTTAATCTGAATTTGAGATGTGCCATAAGTATTGAAATACACAATGGATTTTGAAGACTTGGTATTTTTTTAAGTGTAAAGAAGTTCATAAATAATTTTATATTGACTTCTTG